CAGCTCTCCGAAGTGACAGGGGTGGGACAGAAGCTCCCCAGGTCTGAGGCAGAGAGATGCAGACTCTGGATCTCATGTAACAGCTCACAATCCCACCCCAGCCAGCCCGGCCAGGCCAGCCCAGCCCCACCAGCTGTCTGACCCCAGCACTGTCAGCTGTTCCGGGATGGACACAATGCCAGGCTCAGGTTACCTGGGCTGGGGAGGGAACAGAGGGGCCCCATCTGCCCCAACGGAGAAGGTCCAGCCTCCATCCCTACTCAGACTCAGTGGTCCCAGCCCTCCATTCGTGGTCCAGTGAGGGGGAGGGCTGAGAATGAAACCAGGGACATGTGAGCGTGGGAGAGAAGGCAGAGGGCTGAGGGAGGCTCCCTCCTGCTCCCTCCAGCGGGTCAGGATTCAGGGAGGTGCAAAGGCTTTTGCTTAGGCATGTTTTGTGCCTGAGTTTATCTGCGACATGGTTGAGGACTCAAAACCTCTCCCACCAACCTAATATCTTCATGGATCCGTCCCTCCACTGGGCCAAGGGTAAAATACCTAAACGAAAGATGCCTTATGTCCCCCAGGCTTTGACATCTTAACACAAATTAGGGCACCAGGTCAGGGTCCTCCACTTTTCTGAGGCATGAGTCTCAGCCGGTTGAGCTTTCTAGGAAGGAGGGCTGAGAAAGATCTGGAACTCAGAGTTCTTATGAATAGGACAGACCCTGAATAAGGACTCCTGTGTGGGGCCTCGGTATTTGTTAAATCATCCACAGACTTATGGAGTCCCCCAGCATGTGGCAGGCACAGCACTTGTCTCTGCGACTCAGGATATGCCCACATTGCTCACAAAATCTCACAGGATCGAGTTGCAGCCCCCCGGGGAGTTGGATGAGGGAATCCAAAAGGGCTGGAAAACAAGCTCCATCCACTTTGTGGTTTGTGTTCAGGGGAAGGGTGGGGCTGAGGTTGATCTAGGAGCTGATGGCCATGACCGCTGGCTCAGGCCACCTGTCTTCCGACCATCTATTCCAGGCAGACGGGTCAGCATGTCCTAGTTCATGGGTAAGACAGAAGATGCAAGTTCCCGCCCCTGACACCTACCCTTCAGCATGCTGGGGGTCAGGATGGTGATGCCTCTGAGGGCTGAAGGAAAGCCCCATTTAGGAGCATGTCCCCCACTCCCTGAACAAGTGATGTCTGTGGCATTTCAACGGAGTTCAGTCAACGTGCCTTGTCCTTGGAGATCCAGGTGCCATTGGCTTGGGTCCCAGCCACTTGCAGCAGGCCCACAGTTTCTCTTGTCCTCACCAGGACTTGGGTTTGGGGAGGCGGCAGTGGTGGCAGATGCCTTCCTGGTCACCTGCTCTCACTCTGTTACCTTGTGAACGGCTCCTCTGCCATCCTCGTGCTCAGTCCCTCTCCAGGCCCCACACCCAGCCCCCCTGATGGCGCCCCCATACCCTAGGCTTTCATCTCACCCCACATCTAGCCCACTTTCTCTGGAATTCACAAAGCCAATGGCCCCTCCTCCCCATTTGGGCCTCTGGTGCCTCCGACGCAATTCCCTCACCCACTTTGCAGGGCAATCTCTCTCTCCCTCTGGACTCGCCTCCAAGACCACACTTTGCCAGAGATCATTAATGGTGTCTGCTAAATAATGGACCACGGACCCCACCTCCTTCCCTAGCACCACCCAGGCAGAGGTGGTCCAGCTGATGCTGCAACAGCTCTGATTAATGCTTTTCCTTTTCCCACAAGTGTCTGGGGGTGGGGTGGGGGTGGGGTGGAGAAGAAGAAGATCGTAGAGACTGACTTCCCTCTGGTGTGAATTATGCCACTTCTCCATGTATGAAGATTTAACTTCCGTTTTCTCCCCCTTCTCTCTGCTCTGAGAGAGGCTAAAAAGTCTCCTGGGTTCTCAGGAGGGTGCATCATCTTTGAGGAGTGATGGTTTCTGTCCTGGAAAGGTTAAGGGGGCGGGGGGGGGCGGGGCTACAGGACTCATTAAGAGAAAATATTCTGTAGGCATCAGAACAACCCTTCCTCCATTACCACCTTCCACTCTAGAGGCTGGAAAAGCGACATGCTCATTTCCCAGGCTTCCTCGCAGATAGGGGTGGCCATGTGATAACATCTTGGCCAATGGGATGTCTGCAGAAGTCGACGGAGGGGCTTCAGGGGAAAGCTTTCGTTTCCTGATAAAAGGGGTCAGAAACGGCTGCCCTTTCCTGCCTTAAACATAGATATGTCAAGTGTTGAGCTGTGGCAGTCAGTTCTCAACCTGGGGCAACAAGCCTGGGTCTGTAAGAGCTTTGTGGGACAGCTGAGCCAATGTTGCAACTGTTCCCTCCCAATTCTTACTATGTGAGAAAGGAAACTTTGTTTAAATTACGGTTGGTGGAGTTTTCTGTTCCTTGCAGCTCAATGCATTCCTAATGGATTAATCGCCCTTTGAAAGAGAGCAGGTAGCCCTGCTGGCCTGGGGTGAGTGTGCAGGGACACCATTGCCTTCACAGAAAGCTGGCCCCTGTGGGTGTGACTTCCTATGGAGGGAAGGAAATAGAGTGCCATGTCACCCAGAGAGTGGACCAGTCCTCACAGCACTCTGGGGCTGGCGTGCCGTGGGAGTGGATGCTGTTGGGGGACCTACTGTGACTCTGGGAAGCTGCACATGAGACACTTTTGGTCGGGTGTGGCATTTTGGGGCTGTCTTTTCTGGAAGGCTCAAGGACACCTGAGCAGGGCCTGACCCAGCTGAGGAGTCACCCGGTGATTGGAATGTGTAAGACCCACTGCCAACAGCACCACCGTGTGGCAGAGAGAAGCAACAACAGTGGCCAAGAGATCTAAGCCAGGCCCCCTTTCACCTCTGTGCCTGGGACAGGAAGGGACTCTCCTAGCATTGGTGAATGCTTCCGGGCAAGGCCAGAACATCCTGCCCATCTGACGGGTGTAAGTCCCAGTTTGTTTTCTTATTTAAGTGGAAAAAAAATTAAAAATTTGTACCTCGAATTTATGGACAATTTGCGTGGGAAAGCAGAAATGAGTAGGGTCAGTTTTGGTCTTTTCCCTCGGTTCCATCGAAAGATAAAACATGTCACCTTCTGTATACCTGAGCTCATGAGGTCACCAATTCCCTCTGAGGGATATGGGTCGAGCTGAGAAGACCTATTTCCTGTACGTCAGGAGGTAAATAACTGGGCCCTCTACACCTGCTCTAATCCCCTCTGTCATCATGCCAGGAGTGGATATAGGAGACCTTGTGAGGGGCCCACAAATGAGGAATGAGGTAAAGAACTACCCTTTAATGTTGCAGAACACATGTCAGTGCCTTCCAGCCGACTAGCAAATTCGATTTTCACAGCATGCCACAAGTGGGACTTGTTTTACACGCATATTGCAGGTTACAAAAACAAAGCTAAGAGACGAGAAGTGGCTCGTCCAAGGTGGCACCGCCACACACTACCCCCAAAACGCTGTCTCTTAACATAACAAACATTTATTATCTCCCACAGTTTCCGGGGGTCGGGAATCCAGAAGCAGCTTAGTTGGGTGATTCTGGCTCGAGTGTTGTCATGGGCTGTGATCTCGTCCGAAGGCCCAGCTGGGGCCGCAGGAGCCACTTCCAAGTTCACTCATGTGGCTGTCGGCAGGAGGCCTCAGTTCCTTGACTTGCCAGCCTCTCCACAGGGTGTTCATCATGCCAGCTGGCTTCTCCAAAGTGAGAGGTCCAATTGAGAGTGAGAGTGAAGGAGAGAGAGCGAGAGAAGGAGACAGACAGACAGACAGACAGACAGAGACAGAGAGACAGAGACGAGGAGGGGGAGGGGCGTGGGAGGGGCAAACTGCAATGTCTTTTATAATCTAATCTCGGAAGTGACATGACATCATTCTGCCTCATTCTCTTGGTCACACAGAACTACATGAAGATAAGAATACCAGGGTGTAGGGATCACTAGGGCCGCCCCAGAGCTGGGGTACCTCACAGACCCTCATCTCCCAGTTCCTGCAGCCTCAGCCTTTGGCCCTTGGGATGAGATTGGTGGGTGCTCCCTTCGGGGTAGAGCTGCCGGATTTAGCAGATAAATGTATAAGATGCCCAGTTCAATATGAGTTTCAGATAAACACGAGTCACTTTTTAGTTTAAGGATGTTGCAGATTTTGCCTGGTAACCCTACTTTGGGGAGGAGGAATAGTTGCCCAAGAGGGGCTACTCTGGGGAGGAGGGCCGAGTCCTGGGGCTCTAGGATGGTGTGTGTGAACCGAAGTTGACGGGCTGACCTCTGGCCTCTGGCTGCTGGCCCAACTCTTCCGCCCCAGTCCTCAGCTTCCCAGAGGGACCCAGACAGAGCGATCAAGGCCGAAAGGGCTGGGAAGGCCGTTCTGCAACCCTGGTGCTCCCATCTCTGTCTCAAACCTCCTTCCCTAAGGGGCCTGGAGAGAGAGGCACCCCCAACCCCAGCTCCAGGTAGGGCTGCAGAAGCCCAAGGCTAAGGGCTTGACAGAAGGAAGATGGCTAGAGGGACCAGGAAGTGCAAGCAGAGGATCCCACCTGATCTCACCTGGGGGAGGGGAAGCAGGAAGAGTCTGTCTTCCTCACAGAGGGTTTCCAGAAGGCCAGCCCGAGTGGCATCTTTCGTGGTCCCTGAGCCAGCCTCACCTCCTCCCAAATCATCCTGCCCCAGCCCTCAGTCTACGTCCACTCTCAGACCTTATTGGGGGGTGGGGGGGTCCTGTTTTTATTTGCAAAGAAACCGCTGTTGAGGAGTGGGGCTTCTCCCTCTGTTCTTGGATCTCAGGGAAGCCCAGCTCATCTCCACCCCAGCCTCACAGGACCAACTGGGCTCAAGTCTCAGGGTCGGGAGGCGGCCTCCCCAGGAAGAGCTTGTCCTTTCTCAGACACCCTTGTCCACATGGCTACCCAGTCCCACTCCCAGAAGCCCATCCCTTTCAGGCCAAAAGAACCACCCAAAGCTGCCCCGGGAGCTGGGCCAGGCCACGCAGGGTAGGCCCACCTAGATGAAGCGCTTGTCCTGCTCCAGGTAGGAGAAGGGGTCCCCGGGGAAAGGCTGAGGAGGAGGCTGGTTGTAGGCGCCCTGCAGGAAGATCCAGGCCGTGCCTACTATCATGATGGGTGTCACCACAAACAGGCAGAGCCGGTCCACTGTGCGCGCCACCCGGTTCCAGCAGTCCTTCTCCTGGGGACAGGGTGGGGTAAGGAGGGATCTTAGACCACAGACCCATGCCCCAAGCTGGGGTCCAGTGACAGGCATGGCCTCAGGGTATCTGAGGGGGCCGCCTCGGGCTTGTGGCGAAGGGAATATGCTGCCTGTCCCCAGCAAAGGCCCGGGCACCGCTCCAGCCACAGGCAGGGCTGGTCATTCTGTCTGTCCAGAAGGCCGAGAGCAAGGCCACAGCCTCCCTCCCAGCACTCAGCGCTGCTGCTGGCCCCTATGTGAACTGGGAAAAGGAACCCCTTTCCCAAGAGAGAATTTTAGAAAGTTGTATAATATTGACCAGCCATATCAGGCTGCCTTTTAAATGTCTGGGCTGTGTCTGGAGTATCAGGCTTGGAGCTGAGCAGGGACAAAAAATGATTGACAGTTGGGAGAAAGAAGGGAGCCAGAGGGATGTCTGGAGCTGTGTGCCTGTGTGTCTGCCTGGCCCGGTGTGCCGTTATGGGGTTCTAGGCAGGAGCTCCCCCTCTCTGAGAGGCCTCGAATCTGCACCCACTGTGACTGTCTTCATCTAAATCGTAGTGTCTCTGGGGGGAACTGCGCCCCTGTAAGCCAGGATACCCTTGATCAGTGCTCTACTTGAACATCCGGACACGGCAGGCCTAAGGCTATTCACCTCGTTGTAACTGTTCTGGTCCCTCATGTGGTTGACGATGAAGTTGGCCCCATCCACAGCTGGCTTCAGCTCACTGAAGAGCTCCTCCTGGGCCTGCTCGGAGCCTGCGGGGGGCCGGCCTGTGGACGTCAGGCCAGAGGTGGGCATGAGGCCTGCCCCTACCCCACCTCCCACGGCGGGGCCAAACAAACCCCAAGCCACTGGGGACCCACGTGCGGTGGTGAGGCGCTGGGCCAGCCCGTGCCGCGCTGACTGCTTCTCGAACATGAGGTCACTCCGGGACTTGAGCGAGAAGTACTCCTCGGCCTTGGAGATGTAGCCCAGAGAGCTGCTCCTGCGGATTAGGGCTGAGGGACCCGGCCCGTCCTCCGCCGGGCGGGACATATGAAGAAGCTCCGGCAGGGTCTCCAGGAAGAGCTGTGGCAGGTCAGGGGGACACAGGAAGGCCACTTAACCTTCCTGGGTCACCTTCACACGTCCAAATGTCTGTGACTCCATTCCTGGCCTCTACAAAGTGCTCCCAGCCCTATGACGGCATTTATCCCCCCCGCACCGATCCCCCGCTGGTGGACACCCAGGTTGCGTCCAACTCTCCATTGTCAGTCTCTGCAGAGAGCAGATACTCATTTGTTGAAAACGAATTACGTATGAAAAACAAAAAGCAAGGAATATGCCCCAAATGCTGAGCTCTCCTCTTCTAATGCTTCAAGACTGAAAACATTGCTAAAACGCCCTCAGCTGTGCGAGAACAGCCCGGTGGTCCCTGAGAGGCCAGGGCAGCCCCATCCCCCACCCCCCTCACCCCCGCACCCTGCCCCCACAGTCCTCACCTGCTTTTCAATCAAGGTATAACACACATAGAACAGGATGAGCGAATCCTAAGTGCGTGTAGCTAGATGGATTTTTACAGTTACGTTTAACTGTGTAAACACCCCGCAGATAAGATACTGAACGTTATTATCCCCAAAAGCTCCCTCGTGCCTCCCCACATCAGTTCCTTCCCAGCCGGAGAGGTCTCCGCCAATGCTGACTTAGGTCACTAAAGACCGGTTTTGCCTGTCCTGGAAACTCATAGAAAGGAAACCTCGCCGTCTGTGCTCTTTTGTGACTGGCTTCTGCCAGATAACATTACCCCTGGGAGGGTCGTCCCGTGGGGGCCCGCCTGTGTGGCAGCAGTTGGTACTCGTGCGCTGCTGGGGAGCAGTCCCCGGTATGCATATACGCAGCGTTTTCACCTGCGGAGGGACATGTGGACAACTCTCAGCTTTGGGCAGTTGACAGCCCTCACCTTCTTCACCCCTTCGGACAGCACGTGGGTGCTGGGTGTGCGGAAGTGGATGTTGAGCACGATGACACAGATCACCACGACCATGGTCACCAGCACCATGCCGAAGAGCAGGAACCTGTGGGGCACATTCAGCCTGGAGCCCCCAGTGGGGCGTGGCATGGGGCGTGGGGCGTGGCATGGAGGCGTGGGCGTGGCGTCACTCACTTGCCTATGAGAGGGATGGCCAGGGACGTAGCAGGTAGCCTTTTGGAGATGAGCAGCAGGAAGACAGACTGCGCCAGGAGCACTGAGATGGCCATCGATGTCTTCTCGCCACCTGGAGGAGTCTGGACTTAGCTGTGACCTCTGGTCCCAGAGAGTCCCGCTGTTGGACCCCGCACTGCTTGTTCATAACGCGGGGTGCCCTGATTAACATCATGGACTATGGGGCTAGAGCTCCTAGATTCAAATCCCAGCTCTGACACTTGCTGGCTGGGTGACCTCGAGCAAGTAGTTTACCCTCTCTGTGCCTCAGTTTCCTCAACTGTTCAATGTAAGGACCTGGTGAGAGTGCTTTTAACACTCATCACTCCTCCTGGTACGGGGTAAAAGTTCAACCAACACCAGCTGTCAGCAGCAGCCAATCCCTTGCCACTCAGCCCTCCTAAATCACAGATCCGCACGTGTCCCTCCCTGCACAGACAGCTCCTCACAGCACCAGAATAACACCCCAAGTCCCAGCCCTTCACTCAAAGACCCCAGCCAGCCCTGTACTGCCCTGCTCTTCCCACCTGTCGTCCTGAGCACACTGCAGTGGCCTCTGTGGTAGTGTCTCAGTGCCCCTTTTCTATTTACAATGTGCCCCTCAACCTGTCTCCAGCTCAAGCAGCGTCTCTTCCAGAAGACCGTCCGCAGACCACTCTCTCCCCTAGTCCTGCAGTTTCTACCCTGCCTGCCAGGGGCAGGGGCTGGGTGGCATTGGTCTCTGGGACTCACTGTGCTCTGCTCATAGTAAATATTCTGGAGCTGAGTGAGCATAGGTGGCATGTGCCTTTCGTGAACCAGGTGAGTGCGGATGCACGCCTCCACACCCTGGCTTCCTAGGGATCCTGTCATCCACTCACTGATTCAGCAGGTGATGGCCTTCTGTGTGCTAGGCTCACAGTCACACATGGTGACCGTAACAGACCTGACCAGAGGGTCAGTCTAGGGTGCTTAGGAAGCCTATCGTTAGAGGCAGAAGTAGGGTACAAGAGAGATGAGACAGCCAGGGGCCCTGACCATGAGGGGGATGTCAGACAGGGTCGCAGAGCCCTCCCCTTGGCTGGCAACATGCCCCTCATGCCTGGACCCTAGGCAGGAACCTCCAGGAGTGGCGACCCCCAGGTGGCTGTCAGGAGGAAGTGAGGG